TGACATTCTTATGATATATTGTCCTTAAACCATATACTTACATTAGCATACCATCTGTCTCCCAGAGTTTAGTCCTTGGCCCCCTTCCTCATTGATCTCATCTCCTTTCAACACTTCATTTCTGAATTCCACCTTAAATATCATTTTCATGCAGATGGTCCCAAGATTAATATTCTCTTCACTGTTTGTTTTTTCATTCATTTTCTAGTTATCTCAATCACATGAGTTCCCTTTTCCTACATATTTCAGCTCAAATAATGCTGTTTGCTTACCAGGCACTAGGTGGACAGCTTAAGTATTAAGACTACCCATTTACCAATCATACATATGGAAATATGCCATCATAAGAGATGAGATTAAAATTCAAAATAATTTACCTTTTTTCTGCCCATGGAATAGCCACAGACAGGCAGTTAATTCATTGAATGAATTATTTCATCAGTTCTCTCTCCATTTTTAACTCACTGAATAGATTGCAGAGATCGCTGCAAGTTTTTGATATATGTAATTATTTCTGCTTGGTCATTTGTGATTGGTCAAGTAATTCATATCATGTGGTGTCATTTCACTTTCCCAATTGGACGATTGTAGAAGCAAAAACTAATTTCTTCCTGGTACATAAGTACTTTACTCCACCAACATTCATGCCAGTAAAACTTGATGACTGGTATGTTAAATGACCCCAAATGTAGTGTGGCTTGGCTCAAATGAATCTATTTCAGAAAGTATCAGTGGAAGAAGAAATCAATATAATCTCAGTTCTTGTTTTAGAAAATATAATAAAGACTATTACATGGAAACCCAGATAATAGTACTCCCATAAAAAATAACATTTTGGAATTTTTCTCCATTTACTTTTTTATCTTCTGTCTTTGTTGCTGCAGCCTTCTTTTTTAAATCTGTCATCCCATCCAATCAAGGATGCCTTTTCAGCTGCTCATTAGATTGTTCTGAAAGAATAAATCTGCTGGAACTCTGAAGTTGTTAAGTCTCCATAGTCTGCCACCAATATTTTGGCATCCCTAGATCTGTGCCTTAAGAACATACCTTCTGTCCAGTTCTAATTCCTGAGAGCCAGAACCTGCTATCCACCTGTCTAACCCCGGGGCTCATTAATAACCCTTCAGATTCCTCTGTAACTGACAGACATCCTTTCCCACAACTCCACATGATGGCTATGTCTACACTGCAGGCTTCTTGCACAAGAACTGTTTTGTGCAAGAGTTCTTGTGCAAAAGTTCTTGCACAAAAATGCAAAGCGCATCGCAAAAGCAAAGTGCTTTTGCACAAGGGAGCATCCACACTGGTGGGATGCTCTTGCGCAAAGACTTCCCCCCTGGAACCACTTTGGACAGGGCAAAAGGGCACCAATACTTTCTGGGGGCAGGGGCTGGAGCCCCTCTGAGACATGTGCTTAAAGGGATCTCCCTGGACAGCCATTTTTCTGCTGCTGAGTGCTTTGGGACCTCTCATAGGGACTGAAAGCTGTAGCCATGCCTGTTGTGGTTGCCCTGAGCGTCTTTAGAAACCGCAGCTTGTGCTCTAGTGCCTTTGGGGACTTTTGCCTTCTCCTTGCTGTGCCCTGGAGCTAGCCTGGACTGATAACAAACAGCCTCTAGCATGTCACTACCACCTACGTTTCTGTGTGTGCTGCAGCCAGCCAGAATGTCTGATGTGCTTTGGTTATGCTGCAGGTTGACCCTAATACACCTCTTGTCCAAGGGCCTCCCTCAGAAACATATGTCCTATGTGAGCCCTCTTGAAAAGCATTTTCAGCTGTGAATCAGGAGTTAAAGAATATATACAGAAAGATCTTCCCTTATGTTTTTTCACCTGTTAGCCTTCTTTTGTCTTCCCTTATTGCTTGATGACTTTGTTTACTGCTTACATTAAAGTAAGCACATTCTTTTGAGTACAACAGACTTCTTTGCAAACTTCCATTGGAAAGAGCAGTGGGGTTTGGAATATATGTTAATATCACAGATGGGAATCTAATATCTTCACATACAATGTTGCCACACATTTTACTAACACGACTAACATGATAAAATTATAGTTACATGACTAACGAGAAAATTATAAATTTTCAATTAATACCTTACAAGGCATACTTTCTGCACTGATTATTACAATAGTGTGAATAGAATGGTAAATCCCATCATAAAGTTTTCAACATATCATATACATTTCTTTACTTTGGTATGTTCATACAAACACATTTCCTCTTTGGTCCACTCTCGGTGACTATTACTCAGTCTTTAGAATGGGACTAGAATATATAACATGTCATCTGGACTCTTAAAAGTTTGAGAAGAATGGCAATACCTCTATTCTATTTTAACACCTCAGGACTAAACGTAGATAAAGAAATTCCCCAAATAGTATATTTCCTTCCATCCCCCCAAAAATGCAATTTTGGGGGTACCAAAATTATTTGCAAATTCAGTGCAATTTCAGTGATTAGTTTAATATGAAAATACACTGATTTTGTATTTTGTAACTGTAATTTTGAAATAATGAAAAATAATGGTATCAATCTGTGGCAAGAGAGATTTAAATTAGATATTATGAAACACTTTAGAACCATAAGGATAGTTATGTACTGAAATACCAATGGACGTAGTGAAGTGCCCATTGCTGCAGATTTCTAAGATCAGGTTGGAGAAACACTTGTCATACCTACATTTCCATGGTTTAATTAGATTTATGAGGAAGTGAGAATTTTATAGAAATCCAGGGAATGGATATTTTACGTTCTGATTGTTATACTTATCCTCCATGATTATATGACATTCAATTTAAAATATCAGGTTTCAAAACACTTTATTCAACCCAAATAAGACTTTTGTTGTTTTGTTTTTAATTTTTCCAAATGGAATTATAATCCTGCTTTTACAGGTGGAGAATGGAATTAGGTTTAGATTTAGGGTTAGGGTTTGGGTTAGGTTTAGGGTTAGCGTTAGGATTTAGATTAGTGTTGGGCCAGGAATGGGCAAATTCGGGCCAGTGGGCCAGATCCAGTCTGCAGGGTGAGTTAGTCCCTGGCAGGCCCCCATCTCCACGTTTATCTGCGCCTCCTCATGTATCGGAGGATCGCAGCTCTGGTTGGCTGTGAATTGCTGTTCATGGTCAATACGAGCAGCGGAAAATGGTGTACAAGTCCACAAGGTTTCCCACTAATCTCATCAACTGTGAATGGCAATTTGCAACCAACCAAAGTTGTGATTCTCCAATACCTGCTGAGGCACAGGTAAATATAGCTATAGTGGCCTGCTAGAGACTAATCCTGTGCATTGCTGTTTTTTTATTGCCCACCTCTGGGTTAGGCTGTATTCCACCAAGGGCACCTTGTCAGCTGAACTGTAAGGAACTAAAACGGTGTTTCTCAAAGTGGTCTATAGATTCACTCTGAGAAACCTGCTAACTGGCTGCTCCAGTCTGCTTATTTACTGGTTCTGCAGCCACAGAGCTTGGTGGCTCCTATTGGCTTCAGTTTACCACTTACTGCCAAGATGAGCTGCGGGAAGTGGCATGGGCCAGGACATTGCTTCCTGTGGCTCCCCTGGGCTGTAAACAGCAAACCAGAGCGTACGGGAGCCACAAGGGGACATGGCTGCAGAGTTGGTAAATAAACCAGTGGGGCTAGTTAGCAGATTTCTCAGAGTGGATCTGCACATTACTTTGAGAAACATTACATTAAAGTGATGTTCTCAGACATGATTAGAGTTGCATGGCCTTGGGGCTTCCTAAGGCTAAAATGGCTGCAAAAAAAGATAAATGAAAGTCATTTTTCTGTTGGACAAACTAAGAGTCTCATACCACAGACTTGATGGCAAAAGAAATACTCTTTAATACCGGAGCTTCCGGGGGTAGCTGAATTAGCATGTTATAGAAAAAACAACAAATGGTCTGGTAGCACTTTATAGACTAACGAAACATGTAGATGGTATCATGAGCTTTCGTGGGCACAGCCCACCATATATCTAGTATAAAGATGCCCAAAGACATAGTATGTAAGTATAATATGTCCTAGACACTTATGACAGAAGTTAGGAGAAGTGGATTTTGTATATTTAAATGAGATATAGATACAATTTCTAAAATTTAAGTGCTTATTTTACATTTTTAAAATAATTGCTATAGTTTACTGTTTCTTTTTAGCACTAGATTTTTCTTAAATAATAACCATTCCTGACATTTGAGATATTAGGGAATATAAATTGTACTGCTGTACCCTGGTCCATGAAAAGTAGGAAGTGTGTCATGGAAACTTTAGGAAAGGATATATAATGATCCTTTGGACAGGGGTGTCCAAACTTTTTTCAAAGAGGGCCAGATTTGATGAAGTGAACATGCGTGAGGGCCGACCATTTTGCCTGACATTCTTTGAACCATTAAAATTAAATGCAAATTAACTATTTTATGCAAAGTTTATTGCAAACGGCATACTTTTCATTTCGTCACATGGATGACAAATCTAAACAGGTGTTAAATCACTCTGCCTTTCATATCTGAAGGCCAGATGAAAAAAAAATCCAGGAAGCTGAAATATATGTCAGGAACATTGTAAAGTACATTACATATTATTGGTAATAAAGGTTGTCTGTCAACTTTTAAGTTCAAAAAATATGAACAGGAACATAACACCAAGTATACATGTTGTGTCCAAATATATTTATAACTGATTTAGACCAACTGACATTAACTGAGATTTTACAATGTATTCATCTCAATACATATGGATTCGTTGGGGGCCATAAAAGATAGATATTGCCAAATTACCTGTGGGGCCATATTAAACCGGAACATGGGCCGCAATTGGCCCGCGGGCCGGACTTTGGACATGCCTGCTTTAGTCTGATGGTGTCTCGGCAAACAGAAGTTGTTTCCCCAATATACTAGTATGTTCGGAACTGGATAAAGGATTTGTACTTCTAATTCACAAACCAATATATATTGAAAATACTGTATTGGTAGCATGCTAAACATTTTGCTTTGCTCTACAGTCCAATTCAAAATTCAATTTCAATTTATTAATACACGCTCCCATTTTCTACTAAAATTGTCATTGTGCCTGAGACAAGTTTGGCAAATATAGAGTGCCTGCAGTACACAACAGGCATGGCCTCTGACAAGTTCACCCAAACAGAATGATGAAAATGTTTTACCTGAAATATGACCTCTAAAAAGTGGAACTTTCCAAAGGAGATACGAGTGCTGAAATGTCTTAACCATAATTATTGTGTTCAAGGAAGTGGGTGTAAATAAGAGAAGAATAAAGCCCTTCTGTATATAAGCAACAAGGCAGATGTGACGTTACTACTTCTTCTAACCCAATGGACATGGCTCACACATAGTTCCTTATTTACTTAATAGTCATAGCAATTCTAGTTCTGTTATAAAATGATTTCAGTAAGTTTACTGCATACCGTTGGATAGCAGCTGATCTTGAGGTCAAACAAAACATCTTTTGTTAAGAATATGTAAACAGAACTGGTGGGTTTTTAATCTTCTGTTATCTTTTGTATAACTAGCTACGAAGATTCTTCTTGCTTCCTGGAAAGTGAATCAGGAAAATGTCTCTAAAACCAGTAGAAAGAGATAATAAAATTAATTATGCTTCAGCAGACTTTTGTCTTGGAATACATATATCATACATAATATTCCCTAAGCACTGTTAAAAAGAATTAAAATGTTACATAACATGCATACAGTTACACACACTATTTAACTTGTAAGTTCCTTAGGACAAGAAAAATGTCTCCTATGTTTTGCATATTGCTTAGCCTACTTTTGGGATCCAGTAGCATCACAAGCGTATATAATCAGTTCCTTATGAAATGATTATAACACACTATTTAGTACTGTAACTAGTATTTTAAACTACCTATATTCTTAAGCCGTGCAGCAAATCATTTACATTCCATGTAACATATTAAGACATTTTGTGAAATACTTAAATATCAGATATGTACATTGTACATCAAGCCTCACATGAAAAGTACATTCTGTAGACTACACAGCAATCTGTCATCAGTCACATAAAATACATGCTCTGATCCTCTGAATCTAAGGCTTATAAAGTGTAACAGACAGAGAGACTATTCTGCTCATTATAGCCCCTTTTATTAGATGTTTGTTTCATTATCTGACAATGAAAGTAAAGAGACAGGCAGAGTTGTTCAGGGAAGCTTGTGAAATGTCTGCCTGCCCTATGCCAGGATCAAGCCAGTGCTATTACTTCTACAGTTTAATGAGCACAAAATTCACACAAAAATTTATAAAGCGTAAGTCTGAGTTTAATCTATTTTCTATAAATTGATATGAGACATGACAAAAAGTCAATACTCCTACAGCAGCACGTAAGTGCATTAGGATTGAAGACATCTGTGCTCAATACTGTGTTGCTTTACTCTGGAGCCATGTGAGCTAGAAAATCCACTTGAAGAGAAACCCTCTGAGTTTAGCAAGGCAGGGTTTAATTCACAACAATGGTTTTGCATAGTTACTCACTTTCTCCATCTCTTCATTGAGCTCTTCTCTTCCACCCACCACCATAGGCTCCCTTTTATTTCTCAAGACATTGGCTTTTTTTCCTGACCTCTTGTCTTTTTTTTAACATATTTAACTATGTTAATTTATTTTTAAAATGTCTCAGGCTCTAGTTACAAAGAGTCTTTAACACATATTAAAAGTGCAAGTCGTAGAAAATGCAGCAGCCAGTCCACAATGTATATAGCAAAAGAAAACCAGCCAAGTAAATCTAAACAGAAAAGGTGACACTGCACCTCCCCAACCTTATCCAGAAGTCAAACCTGTGATTTCCCCCCTAGCTCTGCTCTCATGCCCAAAACAAAAAGCTTTTCAGTATGGCATGAATCGAAGGCCAACATGTTTGGGTTGTTGTACAAAGAGCTAATTCCGGAGTCAAAAGCCTTCATTGGTGATGCCAAATGGAAGAGATCTCGTCAAACTATGGTATTTCATCAAAGCAGGATTATTTCACAAAGACTTATTCATGTTGGCTAAGTTTTCAACTGGATTTAAAAGGTCCATGGTTGAGAGAGAGAGAGAGAGAGAGAGAGACCCATATACAAGATTAGAGGGGTTTTTTTCTTCTTCCAGAAAAAGCCATTTTGAAATAATTCCATTTTTTGGAAGACTTCCCCAAAATAGGACTTTTATTCCAATTTGAAACAACAACTTTTGAAACTCTGAAAGTTGACACAACACAGAAATGTCATTCAAAGGCCAGTTCCACTGGTGAGGGCTCAGCTCAAGCCTCTGCACAGATTAAAGTTGCCATATTGTAGTACAAAAATGTTGGTTGGTCTCAAACCACCTAGAGCTTTACAGATTAACATTAACTCCTTAAACTCTATTCAGAAATGAAAAGATAGTCATAGAACATCAGTATTCTTTACTTATGCAAGATACTACGCTAAGTAAGTTGGCTGTTATAGTCTACTTTAGGTTTAGTTATCAACAAGATTCCATCTTCACCTACTTTCCCTATTATCCCTTCTTGTCTATGTTTCCCTGTCCCATCCCTCGTTACTTTTCTTCTCCGCTCTGTACTTTCTTACCATCATCTCTTAATGTTTCCTCTAATTCTCTCTTATTCTCTTTGTTTGCATTTTCACAGTCCTAATTTCTCATTTACATTTTTTAGTTACTAGTTCCACATTTTTAGTTGTTTTTGCAATCCCAAAATCTCTATTTTACTGCCCTTAGAATTTCTTATGGCTTCATAAGGAATAAGAGAGATTCATATGAACAGGCCTACAGATTCAGTGTAAAAGGGTCTGAGGTAATCCTAAGAAAATATGAATAAAAAAAATCTATCAAATAATTTGGGCAATTATAAATTGACTTGATGTAGTGATATTCTGGGGATGTTCCATGGACTAGGCTATACAGGTGGCCAGACTAGATAATCACAATGGTCTTTTCTAGCATCAGAGTATATTAATAACATATGTGACCATTTCAAGGTTGTCAGTCATCCATTTTTTGAGCAGAACACCCACTTAAAAGGAGGCCTGATGACTTCAGTTGGCAGTGCAGATCAGGCTCTTAAAAGTCTAGTTGGGGATTCACCAGGAGCCAGGGGCTAAGGCAGCCTCAATACCTGTCCTGGCACCACGTGGCACCTGGCAGTGGCTGCCATATCCTATGGCTCAGAGGAACTGGAGTTGCTGGCCCCACCCTGAATTCCAACTCAGCACCTCCCATTGGCTGGGACCAAAGACCAATGGAAGGTGTGGGAGCAGTGCCTGTGGGCATAAGGGCAGAGCATGGAGCTTCCTCTGGTCCCAACTATGTGCCTAGGGGCTGCAGGGATTGGCAGCCACTTCCTAGAAGCCACAGTCAGCACCATCAAGACCCCAACCCTAAACCTTACACCAGTCCCCTGAATCAGCTTGGAGCCCACTCTGGCATGCCAAACTCCCCATTCCCAAACAATGGCTCACCCCTCAGCTAGAGCCTGTGCCCCAAACCCCTTCCTTAACCCAGAGCCTCCTCCTGTAACCTGAATCCCTCATTTCTGGCCCACCCTGGAGCCTGGACCCCCAAGCCCTGTGCCCATACCTCCTCCTATATCCCAGGAAGGGGAAGACCAACCAAGAGAGGAAGGAGGTGGAGTGACTGCGGGGAGAGAGCCTCAGAGAAGGGGTGGGGCAGAGGCATTCACTGTTGTATGATTAGAGAATTGGCAACTCTACACCATTTTAATTAATTTCCCCACCAAATATTTATGCAAGTGAAATTTTGCTGTTAAAAAAAATCAGTAAAAAGACTCAGGAAGACTACCAAAAATGTGTGGCAGAAGTATTAGTACTGCCATTGTGAAATTTCTTTATTGAATGTGAGCTGGAAGGAAAGAAAACTGTCTTTGCAAGATAGCCAGGAAAGATAGCAAGCAGCAACAATGAAGATTTTATGCTAGTTTGTGTTCAGGCATTGTACCATCACCGCCACCATGAGGAAGTGGAAATTACATAGTCCCTGGAAAATTGGTTGAGTGCATAGAGTGCTGCTATTAATAAAAAAGGAAGTTCAGTGCTCCATGGTCTAAGTCATCTGCTACCACCTGGAATGATACTATCAAAAAGTGTATGCCTGCTTGGAGAGATTCCTTAAGATGCAAACACTTAGGGTCTGTTGAGCTTCCAAATAATGACAATAAATTAAAAGAGGAGGCAGGAGAAAAAAGTGAGCAGATGTGACCAGTAGCTACCAGGTGAGGGCTGCTAATCAGCACTCTGGTTGTTCTTTTGGCCAGAAGGATGCACATCAGCTGCATTCAGAAACCTTGAAGAGTGCTTGCAGCTGTTGATAATACTACTGCATCACTATTTCTGAGAATCATAAAAGATTAGGGTTGGAAGACACTTCAGGAGGTCATCTAGTCCAGCAACCTGCTCAAAGCAGGACCGATTCTAGCTAGAGCTATATCAATCCTGGCCTTAAAACCCCTCCAAGGATGGACATCCCACTACCTCCTTAGGTAACTCACTCCAGTGCTTCACCACCCTCCTAATGAAATAGTTACTTTTTTTAAGTGAATATCCAATCTAGAAATTTTCCACTGCAACATTAGACAGGAGTGGTGGGATTTTGTATTGATTTGATTTTTTAAATATATCTTTGAGTTTTTGAATTGAAAGTAAAAGATTGCACAAATAATCAAGTAACTTTACACAGTGATAATCTTATATTTCTTTGTGGGCTTGTCTAAACTTCTTTCCACTTCTAAAAGAGGAAATGCAAATGAAGCGCTGATTAGCATTTTCTCATGCTTCATTTGCATATCCTTTTTTTGGAAGAGGCTTTTGCTCAAAAACATTAACCCTTTTTTTCGAAAGAACCTGGTTCTGTTGGTCATGATTTGATGCTCTTAGACTTTTCAGGATGGAACCCAAAATTCCATGGCATAACACCCGAACTTTATAAATAGTTCTTCGCCCCTCAACTCTGTAGATCTCATTGTGTCATGCTGCAATCAATTCTTCCTTGATGAGTGTTTCACTTAGGCTGTGTCTACACTGGGCCACTTATTCCGGAAAATCAGCCGCTTTTCTGGAATAAGCTAATTTCCCGGAAAAGCAACGACCCTCTACTGTACAAAACCAGCCGCTATTCCGGAAAAACTATTCTGCTCCCGCTCGGGCTGTTCCAGAAAAGGGCCAGTGTAGACAGCCCAGTAGTCTTTTCCGGAAAAAAGCCCCAATCGCGAAAATGGCAATCGGGGCTCTTTTCCGGAAAAGCACGTCTACATTGGCCACAGACACTTTTCCGGAAAAAGGGCTTTTCCGGAAAAGCAGCCTGCCAATGTAGACGCTCCTTTTCCGGAAAAACTGAAAATGGAATAGTATTCCGTTTTAAGCAGTTCCGGAAATTCATGCCAGTGTAGACACAGCCTTTAATGTTGTTTCCATCATCATTTTTCATTGTCATTTCAGATGACTACCTTTAGGAGTTGTCCCAGGCTGATTTTGGTGGGTTTATTGTTTTGTCCTAAGGGGGTGTCTGCCTTAGCTTCAGAGTCTTCAGTCTGTCCCTCATTCATCCTCAAGTA